ACAAAAATACCGCTATTTGTCCGGGTAGATGAACTTATGAATTTTAAATATTTTATTAGTTGTGATTTTTATACTCTTGCAACATGTTGCTACGGAGTATACTAGTTTTTTTCCCAAACGGTTATTTGTATCACCAAAAACTAATCGAGTTAGATATACGGATATATATATATAAGGATGAAGAGACGAGTTGGAATCCGGATGACTGTCTGTCTGTCCGTCCATCCGTCTGTCCACTTGTGCAAGCTGTAATTTGAGTAAAAATTAAGAAATCTTGATGAAACTCGATAAATGGCGTCTTGTGAGCGTGGCAATGGTCCGATTACGCTCATCTACAATATCAACCCTCTTACGTACCCATATAACGGTTTTGTCAAAAACTAGTTTAATTGCGATAAATCTATAAATACGTCAGAGACATAAAATCTTACACCCGAAATGGTACAAGAGTGCTTTGATACTACAACCACGCCTACTTTCCATATATACCCATATACATTCACTTTACAGTATACAAATCAAACACCAATGAATTGACGGGATAAAACTTTGCATGAGTAGTGTCCTTGAAGTATGCCACTTTATTACCAAAAATTGTTCAAATCGAACCAAAACTATTCAAGTTCAGGGGTACCCAATATGTGGACCACAGTTCCTATTGCGAACGTTTTGTTAAAAATATCACTCAATCTATGGGATTTATTATATTATTGAAATTCGGAGAGAATTCTTATCTGATAATAGATAATTGGATTGAATTGGATGAATAATTCTCTTAGTTATCTCAGTCCTAGCCCCACATAACTAAAATCAGGATTTTTGAACATCCGGCTGAGTTTATTCCATATGATTGTTAATGGTATGTGAGGTGCCTTAATTAAACCATGGAAACATTTTATTAGTCTGTGGCATGTTGGTGGTATGTGGTATTGGCAAAAATTGATAAAATCGAGTACAAAATTTTTCTAATTGTTTAAGAAGTAAAATTAGCAAATTGCAATCTTTTCTGACGTATTTAGGGTTATTGGCTTCAATTAAATCAAGCCACCTGAAGACGTCTTCGTACGGCTCTACTTGTAATACTAATTTCAACTGCTTCCGATTGTATAAAATCGCTCCTTGGATTTTTTCTCTCTCTCTCTCAAAATATTTATGAATACCAACATTAGCTCTTATAACACGGATGCTTACTTTTGCTAACCGCAAATCTGATAACTTGCCTCTGCCTCATTCAGTTATTTCCGACATATTACACTTTTAATGTTCTACTATTCCCTAATAACACTTCGGCAAGACTAAGACCAACGATAAATGAAAATCTAGGGTCTAGTGTAAATCAACACTGATTGAAACATTTTTACATCTATCGCCGATTCAAAGTTCGCATACGAAACCCTTACGTTATTGTTCGTTGCTTTACATATTGATATATGTACATAGGTATAAATAAAAGCACCTATATTATTTATATTTCCAGTCTTGGGAGCATCTATTGTTTTCACATGCCATCTGATATTTGTATAATCTAAATAGGGTATATTAAGAGGTTTGCAACACTACTAAAAATTGATAAGCATGACAAGCTAAGTTTTAGCCACATCTGTCTGTCTGGCTGTGTGTTTATACACGAACTAGCAGTTTTTGAAATATTGATATGATCCTTTTCTCACCGAAAATTTGCTCATTGTCGGAAACGCCGATATCAGACCACTATGGCATATAGCTGTCATACAAGGAGACCGATCAAACCCACGTTCTTGTAACTTTTTTCTTTGACAGGATATTTTCACGAAATTTAGTATTGATCCAAAGCATCGCTACAATCTCCGAAAAAACTGTTCAGATCGAACAACTATAGCATATAGCTGCCATACAAACGGACCGATCAAAATCAAGATGCAAATCTTTTTATACCCTTATATGTCAATATGTTATAAAAATTGCAACTGTAAAGGATATTATAGCTTCGGTGCAGTCGAAGTTAACATTTTTTTTGTTTATTTTAAAGTTTTACCGATTTAACTATAAATATATCTAGAAAAAGAACATCATTAAGAAATTAGCTCTTATGACACACGAAAATGTACACTGTCTTATTTGCCTTTAAGTTCATTTGAGTCTGAAATTTAACAACAATCCAGGTCTCAGGTGCACGATGATAAGTCGAAGTTATTAGAAGTTGTAGATATGCTTTTTGGAAATGGTTGTCAGAACAGCAAAAAGGTTATTTTAATTACATTTGATATGACTGCTGGGCGAAATATTTTTTTGAAAAATTTAGCATAAATTTAAGATAAAAATTTAATACTAAACGGTTTTATTAAAAATCTTTATGTTGCAAGGAAACAGTCTAAAAAATGTTATGCATAATGTAATTTTGCGTGAAGATTATGGTATATCTATACTTCTATCTATACTATCAATATAATGTATATATATTGTGTTAATCAACTTAGTTAGACTTAAGCTATTCTTGCATACAAGCAACGGAATATATAATACATAATTATTTTATTTAATAATCTTAAACTATAACCTCTACAATTCATATTAAAATAACAGCTCTATTAAAGCGTAACTATAACTTGGAACGCAGCTGAATTTGCTCAACATCAACGCTGCCGCGAACTGAATAACCTCGAACAATGTTTACCTGCTAGTTAGTCAGATGTTGTTGTAGTCCTTGCTGAGATGAGTCAATAGCACATAAAAAGTATATAGCTACATACATACCCATCATTATATCATACACATTATATGCTCATATCTGTTTTTCTGGCATTTGTGTAAGTACATTGGTATATTATATGAGCGTCAGCGATGCTTCTTGCATACAAATGACATCACAAATGCAAAACAAAAATTTTCCCAATTAAACTTCGTTTTAATTACTTGCAGTTGGCATTGTGGCACGCGTAGGCGCTTCACTTACCAACGCACACGCACATATACACGTATAGTATATAAATGCGCCCAGCATGTGGCACGTAGCGTGACAAAGGTGAAGCAGCGAGTGGTGGCGCTGCACTGGAGCTATCGCTGAGTCGGTGTTTCTAATTAGCGTTGACTTGACGGTGAGACAGCGGTGTGTGTGTGTGTGTGTACGTGTGCATGAAAATACATGAACGAGTTTGTTGCACACAGGTACTTATATTTCCTAGCTTAAATATTTGCGCCGCTCACATTAATGCCAACATAAAACAAGCAATCTGCATGCGTCAGGGCGTATGAGCAACCTGCTGTGTGCTGAATACCTTATTAGCCACAGCAGATGTTGCTACAAAAATGATTGAAATCAGTATATTACAACTAAATAAAAGTTAAATCATTAAGAAGGGAAGTAATAAATTGTGTGGTGTTTAAGTATTCAAATAAAGTAAGCAGGTATTTGAGTATTTTTATGCATTATATTTAATACTACTATTAAGAATAACCTTCGTGGGTATAAAAAGTATGATTCATATAAAAATAGTCTCACATCTTTACAAATCGGATATTGTGCGATTTTTTTGTAACTATAAATAATAATTATTATTACTACTAAATTTTAATTTAACTTAGGCTCCATATGTCCCTTCGAAAGCTAACTTAGCTGAAGAAAGATGGGAATATTGCGTACAAGGATCCTATCACCAATTAATGTTAACAAAAAATTAAAACTAATTTTAAAAATCACAAACACATTTGCAAAAAAAAACCTGATCGCAATTAAATATTTATGGCATAAGTACGAATATAAAAATTTTTTTCAGAGAATTACCCAAATTTTGGTGAACAAAAAAATATTTACCCAACTTTTTTTAAATTAAATTATAAAAAATTATAATAATAAAAAAATGTACATTACTTTATTATAAAAAAACATTTGAATACTTATTACCAATTTTTGAGACAAGTGCATCCTTATAAAAAGCATTTCAATTATAAAACTAACCATTATGATTTAATTATTATTCAATATTTCTTTTGTGTGTCAAAGATAGATGCACAGAGAGCAAACAAGTTTCTTATATAGAAGGTTCCTGCCAACTCAAGTATGTCGTATAATTTTCTCAGTACATTATATGTATATATACTCACATATCATTAGCAATAACTTTTCTATTTTCTCGCTGAAAATTTCCTACAAGACCTAAGAGCTTTGCAATTTAAAATGATACTTTCCATTGGGTTAAAAGATTCAGAGGTCATTTTGTAGAGGTCATTTTGTAGAGGATTTCATTGTCTTCATAAAATTCATAAAATATGTGAATATGTTCAAGTAGTTGGAAGCGAGAAATGAACCGTTACAATTAAGAGCTGATACTTGGAAAGCGTTTCTTAGAGGCGTTTACCAACCAATTTTCGGGATACCAAGCGAATATTGAGTTTTGAGATAAAAGCATTTAAGTGGACAGCGTTGCACTGACGTGTCTAGATATGCGGAACTTCCGAAAGGTCTATCTTCTGGAATTTTACTCGCAACCATTAGAAATTTCTTTATTTGTTCAGCATTTTTTTTCCCACACCCACCTTACACCTTAGTTGGTAATTATGAGTATATTCCAATATTAGTTTTTTTTTCATTAACGGTGTTTTATGCTCGTGACAATAGACAGATTTTACCAATCTGCAATACCGATCTCCCCAGAGTGCCAAGTAATGAGCGCAGCAGCAAAAAAATCTCTGAATTTCTACTGACGTTGTCGACTGTCCTCTTAGTTGGATGGAGGAACAGAGACAAAATCGATTTCTCCTTTCAAAGTGATTATATGGTTGTACATAACTCTATATCTAGCCCGATTAATTTCAGATATTTTAAACCACCGTTAGTTGAAATATCCTGCTATACTCTCTTGCATGAACACTAAAATATCTATGTAGTGGTAGCTTGCTCTTTCTGCGCTTTGTTAAGTTATTCTCGGCCGTAGTTAGCCAAATGTTGTTGTTAACCTTCTTCCAATACATATGATACTTACGAATTATGAAATTTATTTCTGAGAATGAAAACCGAGTTTTATTTTATATTTTTGTATAATAATTTCTTTATTTATAATTTCCTCTTTAATGCAGCATTTTCACTTATACTTATGCTATAAATTTTCTTTATTATTACTTTTGATTTTCATTTTGTATGTTGGTTTACTTGCATTTATGTTGTTGTTGCGTGCTGTGCAACCCATATAACTACATATACATACATACTTGGGTGTGTATGTGTGTTGATTTGTTTCTTAGAACATATGTATGTACTCTATTTGGCATTGCATTTTATCAATTTTATTTTACTTCGTACTTACGGCTTATACAGTTAGTTATTTTATTACTACATTTTTTTTTTGTTTTTCTGCCTGCCTTGCAGTCAAACATTTTTCATATTCACCGCATTCGTCTGCTTCTCTATAAATTCATTTTGCGGTTTTATTATTATTTTATTCTGGTAAGACTTGTTTTGTATTATAAAGAGAATTTATGCATTGTTAGTCTTCAAGATAGCATAAAAACAAAAGTCGAATATTTTCGCATATCAAAAAAGAATGAATGGTCGATCGCAAGTGCTTATGCTATGCTATGTTATGTGTATGTTTGTTTAACTATTGTGCAAACTGCTGAAATTCATATTTGCTCGTGCAACTTTGATTTGCTATTTCTTATAGACTGGCTACACAAGTTGTTGTTGTTGTTTTTAATATTTCATTTACCCTTTTTGATTTATTTGTTTATTTTATGTTTAGCTTTGCTGCTACAGAAGCGCATAGGATCGCCTTAACTCGCTCATTTATATATATATATATTTAGTTTATTTGTGTGCATGTATTCACCTAAATCTGCTTGTATGTGTGTGTGTTTATGTCACGTTGTGTGTGTGTGTTTTCAGCAGTAATTTATTTTCCTATATTATTTCGATTTTGATTTAATGCGTATTATTTTCGTTCAGTTGTTGGTTGTGTTATATTTGCAGAATTCATAAAGTTTTCGATTTTTTCTCTTTTACTAAGGTTAGTTTTCAATATATTTATTTATTTTTTTAATCTAACTTAAATGTAAAAGAATTTCCATTCAAATGTTCGTTTTACAAGTGAAACTCTTTGAGTGTTATTTCGTTTTCTATGTTATTATTATTATTTAATTTTTGAAATTTTATTTGCATCTAATTAATTAATTATTAAATTAATTTTAATCTATTATCTAGTTGTTATTATTATTTTTATTTTTATTATATTAATTTTTAGGCTTATTGTGGCCTGCTCAGCATTAAAATTTCGACCTTAAATTATTACATGTTAAATATGTATGTGTGTTGAGTGTGAAAAAAGGTCTGTTAAATATTTTTGAAAAGAACTAGTTGTGAACTAGACGGGAACTAGTATAACCATAATTTAGTGATAGAACACTCTGACACAACTGATTGCGTTCTATGCTGAAACTAGTTGTAGATCCTCCACGATCTAGTGGTGGAACACCATAGCTAGTTGTTTACTATCTTGGCACTAGTTGCAATTTCCGTGTAACTAGTTTAAGTTCCTCAGCAACTAGTTGTATACAAACCTAAAACTAGTTATATATACTAGCATAGGATTAATTGTAGTCTACACCCTGTAATTAATTATAGATCAATCTGGAACTAAATGTGAACCACCCAGTAGGTACATAGTATCAACCGTAAGCTGCACTAATTAGACAAATATATTATTCCTATTTTTTGTTTCTTTGTATTGCATAGTCCTGCCACTCAAAAAAAAAAGTCTACATTAACTAAAAATACTTAAAAACACTTTGGACTCTTGTGATTTCTGTTTGGATTTTAAGAAAATAAGAAACACTATAGAATGAAACCATAAATGCACAAAAACCCTTCATTTTCACCATGGTTCATTATCAGGGAATATAACTGTGGACTGTTCTTTCTCAGACCTTTCTCTAACTAGTTCCATTTCAGTCACTATTTCTATTGATAATTAGTTATGCTTTAATAATATATGCACGCTTCATTGATTAAAAATTATGTTTTGTATTTAAAAAAGTAAGAAATATAGCCAAAAATACACAGCAACAAAACTGTTTATGAAGTTTAGTAAGTTGCCCTTTTATGCAAGTTGCAGATCTGGTAATTTTGTGCACTAGTTTATGGTCACCTCGAAATAAAAGAGTTTTTAACTAGTATCATTTTAATGTTTCTCTAACTAGTTCCGTTTTGTTTGGAATTTTCTATTAGGACATTAGTATTTTTCGGATTGTTTGACGCTAATGCAGGGTAGTTTTCAATTTTTTTGGAACCTTGTGTACAGGATCTTATTTAGGATCAATTCCTGAAATATCAAAGTTCTTGGACTGAAGTGATGAAATTTCTTAAAATCAAAAAAGTTTTAAAATTCTCAAGCGGCTTATGGGTTTTGCTTAACCGTGAAATTACTTATCGAGCATTCGATTTTTACGTAATTCTGTGGTATAAAATCGAGTAAAAGAAAATAACTTTCAATAATAAGCTCTCACACTATAAAAACGTAAATTATTTATGTCATTATTTAGTATTACAATATTTTTTATCTCTTTTTTAGGTTATCTTAATTATTGGGTATAAACGAGTTGTGGAACTGGTATTTACAATGATTTTCAAAAATCTTGTTTTTATGTTCTATAACTAAAAGTATTCACTAACCTAGTTTTTACTAATTGTGAAATATCTTGACTATTTTTTACAATACAAGTAATTTGTTTAACTTGAGCCTGAAAATTTTCATGAATACAAGTAAGAGGGATTATTCAAAATTAATATCAGTGAATTTACAAATTAGCGAATAATTAGCAATCTAGTTTAACTAAATGATGTTCATTCAAAATATTCAATTTGTTTATACTTTTTTGATATTTTCATTATTTTATGTTCAAGAAACATGTACAATATAAGAATTTTAGCAACAAGCAGCATGCGAACACCTATTTTCTGCCATGAATCTTTTGAAAATTTTTGGTGAGAAAAAACTTGACTAACTTTTATGGAAGTAACTTTGAAAGTTGGAAATCTACTACCTTGAAGCAGGATTGTGAATTTTTTTCTAAACAATTTTCGATTAAAAACTAGAATTTTAATTTCTAAGTCCGATGTAAAATTGATGAAATGGCATAACACGAAATACACAAACGCGAAATAGTTTAATATTCAAAAAACAAAATTTTTAAAATTTTTTATTATTAATTTGTGATGAACAATTTTTTCAATCTGATATTTGGTACGAAAAATTTATTTTTAATTTTTAATTCTGTTATTTGAGATTAAAAATGGGAAATTTATTTTTATATAAGATTTTCGGGATTCCAAAATAAAAACAATTTAATTCAAATGTTAATTCAATTATTTTCGTAAAGCATTATTTGCAACCTTGGTTCGCATTAAGCTCAGAGGTTTAGTATCTACTTTAGATGTGATTTTAATTTCAGATTATACTGAGAATTAAAACAATTTTTACATTCGTTTTTTGTCATCCAACTTTGTAGAGAGCAAAAACAACATGGTGCGCCTGGCAATGGCCGTGTTTATAAACTTGTGCCGATCATAGTCGCAACTTCATCGCAAATGTAGTTTTATATTGTTCTCAAGTGTATGATTTGCATTTAATTTAAAATTTTAATAAAATTAAATCATATTTACTTTGAGCATACAAATCAAGTGTTTTTCTAGAAATACAATTTCAACATTTTTTGTATATAGTGCTCGGAAATTAACTTTTTCGCTGATGTCATAATTATGCTTCGTATATTTGCTCATGAAGTATTTTATTTTACAAGGTCTAGAACTGTAAATTTTACATAACTTCTCCAAAGCTAGGGAATGATTCGGAATTTGGCTGAATATCTAAATTTTTGAAATTAAATTTTGGAAATGCATTTAAAAAATATGAGGGAACTATGGTGTATAATTTGAGTTAAACAAGTTCAATCGAAGACAATAAAATGTCTATGAGGTTAAACAATTATTGGCAAAATATGAAAGAAATCGATCTAAGGTATACAAAAATTTTGGAATCACCTCATAATGATTTTCGAAGTCAACTTCAGAGCCATAATCATTGTTATTGAATTAGGTAAAATTTTTTGTAAGCCTAATGTTACTGTAACGAATAATATTGAAAATCAACTTGAAAGTTATACATTTTACAGCGAGTATTGTTTATTTTCGAAAATTCTTGAAAAATATTTTTGAATGCATTATAAAATTTACCTTCGAAAGCACGCGCTCTTAGTACGAAAATTAGCGTAAAGCGTAGTAATTTATAATTAAAAATAATTATTTATTTTTGACAAGAAAGTTTAGAAAGTTTATTGTAAGAAGGCAATAAATATATAAATATTTTAGGAAATAATTTTTCAAAATTAAATAAAACCTAAAATATTAAGAAGTTTATCAAATTTTATCGATATGCTTTGAAATAACTATATGAACTATGAAAATTAATATTTCTTATATAATTTAATATATTATAAAGAAGATAAATCGAGCTTCAAATAAACTTTTGGATTAAAAATTACACTCTGCAAAACTTTCTTAAAATTTTCGTACACTCGGAAGTAACAGCTAACTGAAGAAGATGAAGATGAAGATAAGATGAAGATAGATGCTCTACACATTTATAAAGAAAATTAATATAGTCTTCCTTCATGACAAATAATACAAATTTTCCGTAAGGCCGTGCTAGCTAATACAGTTACTGCCATAATCTTCAACTTATTTTTTAATATAACCTAACTTTTTTGATTACGCAAAGTATAGTGCAATATAAAGGCAAGATATGTAAAATTTACGTTAAATATACATGTAACTACAAAATATCCCAAAAAGTATTTATTTTACACTAAGTTCTCATATAAGCCACATAATTACTTCAGAAGTGATTATATCTTCATTTTTTCGAAATTCAATTATAATATTTTATGTATATTTAGCATCAAGCTAATGTTAGTTGTGTGTGTTGAATTATTGTGTGCGCATTATTGATGAGTGTCTTTGATTAAAAGTCTTCTGTAGAAGTACAACAAATAATAAGAGTTCCAATATCAGCCTATCTAATATAAATCTAAACTTAAATTAGGTGGCCTAACACATTATAGCTAAGCTAAATACAACTAACAATGTCATTAGAAACATATGTATTTATACACTCTAAGCGGCAACGCAGCGCATGGCATGTTATAGCATAGCATAGTCCAGCATAGCAACGCATGATACGGCATGGCAGAGCGCAGCTTAGCTTAGTGTGGCACAGTACCACACAGCATAGCATGACACCGCATACCATAGTTCCACATAGCATAGCACCACATAACACAACACCAATTACAGGCACAACTACGATGTCCTGCTTTGCAAGTTCATAACTGCTTTATCGCTTGCGTTGCCTCGATTTGCATACTTTTCATTAACAAGTCACTTCTTTCCACATTATCATATTTACAGTTATGCTTAGCCTAAGGTGTCTTCGCCTACAAGCTATATATGTATGTATGTATGCATGCATGCATGTATGCACGAGTATACGCGATTGTGTCTGTTTTAAGAGGACCTTAAAAATACTCGTAACTTTATGGCCGAAAGGGAGCTTCGTGACATCGTTTGCGGCGGTGTGGCAAGCGCGGTGCCGCAACTAACAGGCATTCAAGTGATTCGCGCCCAAAACAACGCCCGACGACATATAGCCCACACCGCTATTGCCCACAACATGATGATGGTGATTGCCCGCCTGCTGTTGCTGGCGCTGTAGCTGGTGCTGGTGTTGATGCTGTAGCCGCAATTGCTGGTGCTGCTGCTGATGTGCATGGTGATTATGGTTGTTCGCTGTCGCTGTCGCTGTTGCGTCCACTGATGTCGTTGTGCCGCTGACATCATTGCTCGTTGCTTTTGTGCCCGTTGAGGTCAAATTCACCAAGCCATTGCCTTCGGCAATAACCATCCCCACACCGACACTCACACCGACGCTCACACCACTCACGCCTGTTAAGTTGGCGTTGACTTCACTCTTCTTCAGTGTGTTGGTAGCGGATGTCACTGCGCCGCCACCACCGACGCCCTTACTGTCAGTGCCATTGCTGCCAGTAGTTCCCAGTGGCGTAGTTGCCGTGGTGGCTGTGGCGCTGGTGCTCAGGCTGGTGCCGCTGATGTGTGCACTTATGCCGCTTGGTACACTCGAAATTGTCGTGGTAGCGCCACCGACTACTGAGGCGCGCACCAGCTCCTCATTAGGTATGGAGAAGTGTCGATACGAAATGTATTCGGGTGGCATGGCGGCTTGTCTTTTAGCATTCTCAATGCGTTGCTTCTTCAGTTTCACATAACTCAACACTGAAATCATGACAATAAACACAATGATGCCCAGGCAACAGCCGACAATGAGACCGAGGCGCCGCGTTAATATCGAGTGTATGAAGCCGTTGCTGGAAAGCCCGTTCTCGTCGGTCACTAGACTCGGTGTCGAGTCCAGTGTTTGTACGTCGGTACAAGTGGTGATGTGCGTATTTTTCAGTACGTCCCGCAGCGCATTGTCCGTGACGACGGTATTCTCGATTAGCGCCTGTTGTTGTTGCGGCTCGGCTTGCGTAAATAATTGCTGCTGGTCGTGCGGCTGTTGATACGTGTGAAAATATTGCTGATAATATTCGGATTGCTGCTGCTGTTGTTGTTGTTGCTGTTGGTCGTAATAGTAGTGTTGCTGTTGTTGGCCTGCGATGTAGTTGCCGGCACTTGCGGCTGCCTCGTCGCGTAACATTAGCACCGTATCGTTAAAGTGTATCCTTTGCAGCGCATTCGCCGCCGGCTCGGACAACCAATTACCGGTGCCAATGACGCAGATGTGGTAGCGTGTATTCGCATTCAACTTTGTTAATTTGGCTGAGTTTGCGGTGCCGTTGAGACGTTTGCCACGCATCTATGGGGAATAAAATAAAAATAATGATTGAATTAAGGATATTGAAGGAAGCGATTCGACAATATTGGGAGTAGTACTTAATTTTATTACGCTACAAGTTTACCGTTAAATATACTAACGAGATGGTTTACGGAAACTCATAGATTTCTTATCCTACAAGTTCATTACTTTCCTAAATCTGTTGAGTGATCATTTAGAATGGACTAACCTAAACTTATTAAAATTCTAGCAGTTCCATGTATTAGGTGCAGCATTGGATTTGGCTTGACCATAATCTCGATTGTTTGTACGCCAAATAATTTTGCTCGATTTTCAGTTACATTCAAAGATTTTTAATCGTTTAATAAACAATAACGAAGTATAATCATAAACGAATAACCACAAAACATTACCGTACAATAACTTTTATGGCAAAGCATTTTTATAGGTTAGGGTGCACCAAAAAAGGTTCTGATAGAAAAACTGTCATCAAAAATATCATGACCATAGCATAGAGTGGACCTGATGTGTTCTAATTAAGGGATGAACTTCATCTATCACTTAGTACCATGTTTTTCTTTTCTTTGATCATTCTTTATTATTAAATATGAATATGTATACACTTAGAGCCAAAATAAAGTCTTCTATTGGGATTGTCTGCTTAAATCTGCTCTTTCAGAGTTCAATGACTTCCATGGACGGGGTTTCAGTTTATAGGTAATATTCGACATTTATTTGAACTAAAACCGCATAATGTTCGATTTACTCCAAGATAGTTCTAATTTTAAAGTTTCAATGTTCTGTCAATATTCCAATACTTTCCCTTTGTTTCATAAAGGTCTTCGATAATACAACATTTTTTATTTCTAAGGCAAGTGCATTTATTTTTTAGGCTAGTATTCTAATGCTAATATTTTTAAAATATTTTTTTCATTCAGAAAAACCCTTTGTCCGAGCTTATTCGATTCCATTGGGTTACTGCTAAAAACAGATTCGCTTGGTTATCAGTTAAGGCCTTCGGAAATTATGTTTCATATATTGTATATATTTCCGCGCAAGCCTGCTATTCACACGGTCTCGAAAAGACTGCCGGACGGTTGTTGGTCTAGTCACATACTGGCATCATATGTGAGCCGTATGCGCATTATTAACGATGACACATGCAGAAAGTGCAGGGAAGTAGGAACACATTATCTACCTATGTCCAGCCTTAACTACTTGTAGAACATGGCTTATATATCTTGGAGCTTCTTAGTTCGAGGGACTGGATGAAGTATCTGAATTATATATCAAGTCTCTATTAAATTTCGCGAAACCCGTTGCAATCATGCGCCACGTAAACTTCAGCTCATATTAATAATGAACCGCCAGCTGGTAAGCTAATGCATACTTATTTTTATTTATGCGAAACTAACAAGTAGCAAGCAAAATTTTCGCATTTGATGACTGAGAAATTCCAAAATGAGGGTCGAGTTGTTAACAATCATTCAGAGAGAGAAACTTTGCTGCGGATTTTGAAGCAATTACCTGTAGAACACTCATGTTTCCTACTTTACTTCAAAATACTTCATACTATTTATCACAATTTATATGAAGTTTTAGTAATATAGTTATCGATCTAAGAATTTATTTAGACAATTAAATTCTCTACAATAATTTTTTTGATTAGTTCGTACGTTACCACGCTCAGCTTTTCGTAAGTTTCATATACGGAATCTAACCTACCATATTTTTTACAAATACTTGGAATATTAAATTTTCATTGCCTGCTAACAATTTTTTTTTGAAATCGAAACGCCCACTCCTCATTCCCATACAGTACACTTTAAGAAATAAATGGAATATTTCCACCTAAAACCACACACAAAGTGAGTTTAGCTGTTATTGCTTATGTCAATAAACATTTCTATACAATCTACTGCTTTTTCGAATAGTTAACGCTCACCTCATCGTAATCAATGCCATCTGTGGTCGCGTAATATACTATTTCATAGCCAGTTAAACCCAAATGCTCACGACTCAACCACGAAACGACCACCGAATATGGCTGGATATCCTGTATGGCGATTTTCGGTATCAACGGTGCATCACAAAATTGTTGTGGCTCCATTTTAGCAAACACTTTGCCCCTCAAGTCCACTGGATGTTCGCACCTTAAGTAATTAATGCCATCACCGGCGCTCGTTTGGGACCATTTTCGATGATCGCGCAGCCATTCCCACAGCTTTTGTGCATCACAGCTGCAATGCAATGGATTTTCTATATAGTTAACCAATACATAAAAAAAACAAACAACAACAGTCACGACAACAACAATTAAGTGGCATTTGTGTCGAGCGCGTTGACGTTGACATTGATGAGTTCCAACAGGTAATACGGCCAATACCATTGAGGTGGCGTCAATTGGTGTAGTTGTAGTTGACATTTGACGCGCACAGTTAGCGGTGATACAGCGTAATTGTTGCATTTTTTATAGCCATGTAACGAGTTGTAGTGAAAAGATACAGTCAGTTTCAGTTTGCCGCAACATCCAGAGAATTGTTGGTAGATGACCAGGTGGTGAGCAGAAACCGTTTGGAAAGAGAGACAATAAAAAAACAACAGAGAATCGTTAGTGAAGCGCTTATCACATACAAGTAATTATAAATAAAGGCTTTTGGAGGGAATAAAAATATTATTAAGTGCATATTGGTAGTTCAAATGTAAAACTATATTTTAGAGGAACATAACCTACAATCAGTGTTCATCGTCTACATATTGTATATATCTACATATTGTATATATGTATAAAGTATACAACTCTGAAATTCTGAGGCGACTCCAAATAACTGACAGTTCGTGAATTATTTCCAAATCTGAAATACTATACTCGATGGTTGGTTATTGCCTTCCGAGGAGTTACATAAAATTTTATCCAAGCTAAACCTTATCGAATGGAAATCCCGCACTCGTCGCCATAGTCGAAGTCGGATGAAGTTTCAACTAACGTATATTAAAATTCTAAAATAACACTAAAAGAGGATGACACAGACGCATGCGACCGATTAGCGAAACTTCAACTACTGACGGATCAAAAATGGCTAATGAAATGGACGCGTCGGGATCTATTGCAAGAAGCTAGATCGCAGGCGATACTTCAAACTGCCGGAATACAGCAGTATCTGCGAGGCAGACGTCTTTGCAGTCAGAAAAGCTGCTGAGATAGCTAATAAAGTAGGAAACGGCATTAAGAACATCAATATATACGTCGATAGGCAAGCGGCAAATAAAGCAATAATCTATTATCGAATTGTCTCAGAGAATGCCTCAGAAGCAAGCAGGTACTTGATATGATGGCTGCCGAAAAGCAATTGCATATATTCTGGGTTCTAGAGCACAACCGCGTTTCAGTAAACGAAAAAGCTTATGAGATTGCCAAAAGTGTCATCTGCTTAGCTACTAAACTAGTAAAGCAAATACGCAAGTCACTAAAAACGATACACAATCCGAAAATGGTAGTGACATCTATTATTGGAATTTTCAAATTACCTATAGGTATATTGGGGTTTTGAGACCACTGCAGCTAGTTTCAGGTTAATATGAAAGCCAAAAAAATCAATAAAGAAGGGACTTATAAGTTTTATGCGGAGTACGAAAGGCTGATGAATAAAATATGACATAATAATGGTGTGAAATGAAATATGGCCTGCTGGAGATCGATCGGTATTACATTATTGATGTTGGTCGTGACATAAATTGAATCGCAGATCATGTACAGTGATACCAAGTTTTAGCTTTGGTTTTTTTTACCTAACTATTGAGTGATGCATTAATGGGTTCAAAATAGTTTAGAAACTTTTGATTTTTTTCGAAACGATGACATAAATCTATCACTTCCTACTCACTGGTTGAAAAAGTAAGTTTTATGAATATTTTTAAACTATTTAGACTAAATGTTTTTATATTTATATGGCGGACTTAAGAGAGTTGCCACTATTTAAAAAATGTGTATATAAATATTAAATAATCAATTTTATAAAACTCACCTTCCAATTTCAATGTTTTTATGTTAGTCTCCAAAGGTTTGAGCGCCTCAATCGGCACTAGTTCGAAATAGTTCTTACGTAGATCAAGCACATGTAGCTTACGCAAGTACCGAAAAGCGTCATTCGACAATACGGTCATACGATTGCCCATTAGATACAATTCCATGAGCCCATGCAGATTTCGAAAGGTTTTCTTTGATATGCGATCCAATTGGTTGTAGGACAAATCAAAAGTTTGCAACTGAGCCAAATCGCTACTAAACTCTTCCAAGTCTTTCAGAATATTATGTGAAATATTTAAAAAACGCAGCAATGTCAAGCCCTGCAGACGCTCTTTCGGCAGCATTTCCAATTCGTTTATGCTAATGTCCAATGTCAGCAGATTTGTGAGTGATTTGAAGGCGCCAGGTGAGATGCGTGTGATGCGATTATTAACCAGATGTAAGTGCTGCAAAGCCTGAAAAGCTTCGAAGTCTTTGGAAGTCAGTATGGACAGATTAGTTTGGCAGATGTAAAGCTCCTTAAGGTAGGGGTAACGCTCCTCTTTCACTGTGTAAATCTTATTTATTGGGTTGCCAGTGAGATTGAGCCAAGAGAGGCGTGGTATGGAGATGTCCGAAAGCGCGGAACTTGGCAGTTGCAGAAAACGATTACTCGACAAGTCTACACGCTGTAAATTTATAGAGTGTCTCAAAAAATTCGCAGGCAAAGATAATAAAAGATTGCCGCTAAGATCAATATTATCGAGTTGGGTCAGGTTCACCGCATTGAAACCGCTCAACGAAGTGATTTTGTTGTCATGCAAATTTAGTTGACGCAGATTCAGCGTACCGCTAAGCTTGAAGAAGTCTGTAGAAGTCAGCTGATTGCGTGACAAATCCAAGGTCTCTAGCGTGCTCAAGTTATATAGCGCAATGTGCGGAAACTCCGAGAGCTGATTGTGACACAACTTCAACTCTTTAAACACATTTAGGCCATTGAAAATATTCCGATTCATAACAGTAATGCGGTTGTCGCACAGATCGAGCTTAACGAGATTGGTATTCTTAGTGAAAATCTCGTCTGGTAATAAATCGAGACTGCAATTGGCCATCGTAAGCAATTGTAGAGAGCGCATCTTATCGAACATGCCGGCCGTTATGCCACCCACACGCTCGTGACTGAAATCGTTGTGCGCGAGGTAGAGACTTCGTAAGCTCGGCACATCTAGTTTATGTATATCGGAGGGGTTTAATTGATTGTCCTCCAAATTGAGTTCATTTAGGTTCTGCAGCGCCTTGAAGGTGTGCAGCTCAATTTTGCGTAGCGAAGTGTTGCGCAAATTCAAAAACGTCAAAGGTAGTTCTTCCATGAAAATATCTTTGGTTAATTGTACCAAAGGATTGTTCGAGAGATCGAGTACGCGTAGATTCTTCAATTTATTGAAGCAATAACTTTCCAGCGCTTCAATATAGTTTTGTGAGAGACTTAGCTCTTCTAAGCTCACGAGCGGTGCAAAGTATTCACGGCGCACATGCTTCAGCCGATTGCCGCTTAAGTCGAGAAATTTCAAATGTTTCAGCGTGCTGAAAGTATCCTTGTCGATGTCGCGTATGATGTTATTGCTAAGGTATAGACGTCCGAGCATCAGCAGATCCACGAACATGCTTTTGTCTACGCGAATCAGCTGATTGTCACGCAGCCACATAATCTGTATGCGCTCCTGCCGCCGAAATGTGCGCACGTGTATCTTGTGCAGCTCATTCTCCTCTAGCTGTATAGAAAGCAGCGAAGAGTTGGTCTTGTCGTTGGGAAAAATGTCTTCCAACACGGTCAGTTGGTTATCTTGTAAGTTGATGTGCTGTAAATTGGTAAGACTTTGAAAGGCGCCCGGTTCGATATCCTCGATATTGTTCTTTTGTACATGTAGTTCCTGTAATGCCGGTAAGGGCTCGAACACACCCTTGCGTATGCGTCGTATACGATTGTTATGTAAGCGCACTTCACGTAAAAATTCCAACTTCCTAAACATGCCGATCTCGAGATCTTGTATTTGATTGTTATCGAGCGATAATGAAGTGAGTTTCTGGCATTTATCGAAGAGCGTTACAGGCACTAACGGTATGAAGTTGGAACGCAAATATAAATGATCTAGATTCACAAGCGTGCTAAAGACATTCGGGTCGATGTGCGCTATGGCATTCGATTCCAAATAAATCACATCCACATTGGACGAATTCGTAAAGGCGTCTGCAGGCAATTCGAGTATGTTATTTTCGGAGAGAAAGACTTCACGTAATTGCGGTAAATTCGAGAAGACACCACTAATTGAGTGCACATGATTGTGACTAAGATCTACAGTCTGTAGACGTTTGTTTTTATCGAAAATTTTGGCATCCAAAGAAATGATGCGATTGTGTGACATATCGAGCGACATTAACTCCTTCAAACTCTTGAACGCATCCGGTTGTACGAGTTCTATCTGATTCGCATACAGCGAAAGTGTTTTCAACTGTGGAAAGGCGCTAAAACAATCATTCACAATATCCGTAAATTGATTTGAACTCAAGTCCAGAAATATCAAAGACGGCAGCCGTAACACCGTTGCCGCTGCCGAAGCGTTGTTCGTCGCGAGCGTTATATCACCATAAAATGTAGAGATCTTGTTGTTGGATAGACGCAACGTACGCAAGTAATCGAGTTTACGTAAAGAGAGTAACGGAAATGTACGCAAAGCATTCTCGGATAGATCAATCTCTTGTATGGACTCCTCCAGTCCTACGAAAGCGTGCTCAGGTATTGACTGCAGTTGGTTGCCCTTCATGTTGAGCTTCGACAAACGCAGTCCGTAGAAGCTGTAGTCTTCGATACGCACAATCTCATTATAATCAAAATCAAGTGCGCTCATCTTCTGCATGCCGTTGAGTGCTCGCGATGGTATCTATGAAAGAAAGTGACGAAAATTTGAGAATTGAGTTGCATTATGTTCCTAAATAATTAATGATTTCGAAATATAATTTTTGAGATATACATACATACATATGTACATGGATACAGTGTTGAGTGTTATATTTTATGTATGTCTTCCCAGTGCCTTCGTATCGACAACTACCAGGGCTGTGTGGTATTACTTTTATTGTTATTGTAGCCTAGCTGGGGAAGCTTGTTTCATCGAAGGTTTTTTACTCTCAGTGTCATCAGTACAAAGAAGCAATCTACAGATTTACTAAATTATGTTTTATGCCGCATATGGTTAGGTGGTTTCGGATTAGAGAATTTTTTAAAAATTTGAGGTTAATACAGCTAGTTTTGTAAGAAGGGAAAGAATGCTTTATAACGAAGTTTCGTCGAAGTTTGAACTAGGTATGAGTTAAAGCGCATGTGCAAATTGATATCAATCCAGACATTCCGTATTTATTTAAAAAAAATCTTTTATTTAAATTATATATTTATATGTTGCTTGGAAAAATGACTTCTCAAACTTAAAACTAATAATATTCGAGTATATGTGGACCCCAAAAGAAACTAGAAGCGAATAAAAGTCGAATAGAAGTCAATTGATAGGCTAGGTTATGTTAGGAGAAGTACATAATTGTACTGACATTTTCAGTTCTTCTTGCATTCAGGTTTAACCCACAGCCACCACGAATCTCCCCAAAGAGGTACCTACCATAAGGATAGCATTAGATCTACTGCCCTGGAGCTAACCTCCTCAGAGTGATTACTATCCACTCCGGTATCAGGTATGAGTTTGTTGGCTGTGCGCTCAAGACTAGTTAAAGGTTTAGACTCTATATCTCTAGCATTAAGTTATTTTATGATTACACTGGTTTGAGTGCCTGGAAATAGCGGTATTGTAGGAAACTGTAAGACTGATGAGTTTACTAGGACAGGTACTTCAGTCTCCATAACTGCGGAATGGGAACGGTTAGGCGCTCCGTTGCCTTCTGGTGGCTCACTACTGCTCAGCAACTACCAGCAGCTGTGCAATCGTATGATCCTTCTGGCCCAGGTCCTTCTGGAAAATCGAAAGAGATCTTGGGAACTCTTTGCTCGCAGTAAGGGTAAACTTTAAATCATTGTAGAAGTTCTAACTGAACACTGTCCGATCAGGATTCACGCAGAATAGATCAAGGCAAAAACAATTTGGATCTCAAACTTTTTGACTCCAAAATTAAATACCGGAAATAGAAATAAAACACGTAAGCAGATTTGTGATAGGTTCAGGATGTTTTTGCCGATATCTGAGATCCTATCACAGGAGCTGAGGGCTCAGAAAATCCCTGCTACTGTGCCTGCTTCGTATTTCATTCTATTGTTGTATGTGTGAATGTTAACAGCTTCTTTGAAAGAGATTGATCTTAATTTTAACCTTTCTAAAAGTTGATCTATCGGTTAATATTTAGATAGTTATTACTAGACAACTATTCAGACAATAATTATACTTCAGAAGAACCGCGTAACATTAATATATTTAATAACTATAATACAAGTATTATTAAACTAATTTTTCATATGATTAATATTTAATTAATAATTAAATTCCCAAGGACCAACACAGGCGCTGGAGGTAAAAAGCTGTGTAAACTCTGCTCGTGAGCTTTATGGTCGATTTCCTCCCTTGTGTCCTCGTACAGTCAAAACAAAACAAAACCAAAAAAAAAACAAAAAAAACACGGAACAAACAGAAATCCGCGTGTTTGAATAATGCATGAATTTTCGAGTGGTCATTTTTGGGTCCACACATGCATATGCATTGCCCCTTGTCGTGTCTTACTTATTTTTATTCAACAATTGAACACCTTTTATCGGCATTAAGCTTTATTGACTCTCGGCTGTTATTTGCACATGTGTTGACTTTTATTTGTATTTACTTAACCGAGCCGAGTGTGACTTTTTCTGGTTTAATTAAAATTGCATGAAGTTGCATGCCAATGCATATATAAGGAAATTTCCAAGCACCCAGTAGAGAAAATATTATGAAAGATGAGTTTCTGGATGTCTTTTATATATACAAGTACTACTAAAGTTGACGTTGCTGTTATATACGTTTTTGATTCGCCACCTCTCTGCTTACTAAATATTTTCGATGCTCGGCTCTCTTGTCACAAAATTTACAAGTGAAAACAACAACAAAGTTAATCAGAAAGTAAAAAGTCAGTATTTTGTTTAAAACTCTAAGTCTTCTAACTCTATACGATTATGCCAGTCTTCTTTATGTTATTTTACCAGTTTGCTTCACTTTCAAAAGTTACTCTCAAAAGTTTGCTGAAAGACTGAACAGTTGAAATATGTGAGTGACCTCTTATTGAAAAGGTATAATAAGTTTGAATTAAATTTATTTTTATTGTACCAGTTTATTTGATTTACATCAGTTTTCTCTACCAGTGCTATTCATCGCTCTGAAATGTTTGTCAGATGGAAGACAGCTAAAGTACTCAGTAAAGTACAATATTGTAATATGTTTCAATAAAATTTGTTTTTGATTACACAAATTAATTTGATTTATACCAGTTGTGTGCTCTATTCACTCCTCTTCAAGATTTGATGAAGGAAGGACAGCTAGAGCTTCCAATTACCTAATAATGTAGTATAAAGAATTGATATTCAGTTTCTGCATAATTATACCACTTTACTTTATTTATACCAGTTATCTGTTCCATTTGTCTCTTTCCAGAGTTATGTGAAACGAAGTCACTTTATTGCTACGTAAAACAATAATATATTAAAACAAGCTAGGAGTAGATTCTGATTGTCGTAAATTCTTCTGAAGCCAGAAATCGATCACAGCCTCTGGTAGGTCTTTCATATCCGAAATTCGCATAGGGTACGCTTATGAATAAGTAAATATTATATTTGTGCGAATATGTTAAAACTGCCTGCATATATGTACATATGTTTGTACGTGTTTTTGACACAGTAACGGGTCAAGATTAACGAACGAAAACGAATTGAACGTAAATATTTTCGGAAATCAACAAATGACCCGACGCTGTGCTTTTGCAGATGTAAGACCTTTGTTATCCATTCGAATGCAGGCAATGGTGCAAGTAAAAGGCTCACACTGATATACATATGTATATATATGCATACGTGAGCACGCGATTTATACCACATCAAATTTGTAGAGAACCTTTTTACTCCTTGATGTCACTTTTGAACAAATAGAAGGACAAATGCTTCGTATGTATATAAGTAAGAATGTACCATGTGTATATAAAATATATAATATTTTCAACTTCATATGTTTTTAGAGAACTCGAAAAGTGGATCGAATTATCAAGAAACTTTAAACAATTGTTAAAGTCAGCTTGGCATGTGGAGTTAAGTTTTTATCATGAAAACAATCATAGAAGTTATATAGCACTACTCTTGGTGGAGCTAAAGATGTATGCTTCATCCTGAAGTTTCAGCATCATATTTCAGGGCAATTGCCTATACTCGTATACTACCGTTAATTTTACTAAGATCTCGGCCTGTCTAAACAAAGGCTGATAATTTCACCACTAGAAGTTCAGTTGAATGCATCGCCCAGATATTCATATCGAATATGTGGAATCACATGTTGCGAATTCCTGGATAGCTAAGCATTAACCAGGTTAGTTACATTAGGTATACTACTAGAATTTTTATGATCACTAGATTTGTCTACATAAATCTAGAAATTGAAACTTTTGAAGCTCACGAACTCACACGGTGTAAATATTGACAACTAACGATCAAACTTTTAGAGATTTTTTCTAAAGAAGCCCTATAGGACATAAAATATTTTCATAAAAATTTTAACCCTCTAAATACTTTCTGTGCGACACCTTTTTAGGAAAGCTTGCTAAAACTATTGAATTGTCTTTGTGTCCCTTCCGTCTTTCTAGTCATAACGATATGAGGTCGTTATAAAGAAAGATCTTCCTAAATTCTGTGTTCTTTGATGAAACTAGCGGTATTATTCAATATATTTTCGAAAACCAAGACCTAAATGCCTCAATGAAACTGAAAAGTGAATGAAAAGAAAAGAACTCTGAGGAAACTTCATTATTTTTCCGAAAATATAGTTTACGATTAAATTTGACTAGATAATTGAGTGGATAGTGGTACTTTTATCAACAAAATTAGATATCAGATTCGCCCTCTGACTACCAGACCACTGCAGTATCTACCAAGCGGAGTTCACAGTTCCTAGCCACAGTGATATTTCTGGTAATTGTGAAGCCGATGAACTAGTCAGATCAGACACCACTCTAAAATTAGATTCCGATAAAGAGGAATATATAATATATGTCTCTGGCTACTTGTAGATAATGAATGAAGGAATGACATAAGAACTCTTGTAGGAGTACTAACAGGTCTAACTTATTGGCAGACATGCCAGCAGACTGGGGATACCAAGTTGCACATATAAAACTTTTTCTATTGCTGAACTTCATCATAGTAGCGATAATAGAGTGAGTGGATTTTAGTCCAGGTGGTGTCACATTCGGCCTTCTAAAGGCCAAGGTACGTCATCTGACATCCACTCTACCTACCTACGTAAATTATTTGCTTTATTTTCTTCTTCTTTTAACAAAAATTGTTCGCAACAGTATTAAATATTTCACAAAATTGTATGAAGAATGAAATGAGGTTTCGTATATTATATATTCTATCTTGAAGGCGTTCAGAAAGTTTTCTTGCCCTTTGCTGCATCATACTGCATCTTACTAGGTTAGTAGTCCCAAGGTTCATTTATCAAAATAGATCCACCCCTCAGGTATGCCACGATTTCCTCAAGCATAACCTTTTGGAAGAGTTGATAGCACAAATGCACTTGAAAACAATTTGTGGTTGCCCATTGAGCGCATTCTAACTGATTGTTAAAACACTAACTGACGAATTTATTACGTCATTCCTGACTTTTAGTTGTGGCGGCACTAAAATTAAAGCAGCCTAACTGCTAGTTATACG